CCAGGAGCTGGTTTTTTGAAAAGATCAACAAAATAGACAGATCACTAGCCAGATTAATAAAAAAGAAAAGAGACAAGAATCAAATAGATGCAATAAAAAAACGATAAAAGAGATATCACCACTGATTCCACATAAATACAAACTACCGTCAGAGATTACTACAAACAACTATGCACATAAACAAGTAAACCTGGAAGAAATGGATAAATTCCTGGACACTTACACTCTCCCAAGCCTAAACCAGGAAGAAGTCAAAACCCTGAATAGACCAATAACAAGGGCAGAAGTTGAGGCAGCAATTAACAGCCTACCAACCAAAAAATGCCCAGGTCCAGATGGGTTCACAGCCAAATTCTACCAGACATACAAAGAAGAGCTGGTACCACTCCTTCTGAAACTATTCCAAACAATCCAAAAAGAGGGAATCCTCTCCAAATCATTTTATGAGACCAACATCATCCTGATACCAAAACCCAGCAGAGTCTCAACAAAAAAAGAAAACTTCAGGCCAATATCCATGATGAACACAGATGTGAAAATCTTCAATAAAATACTGGCAAACCAATTGCAATAGCACATCAAAAATTTTGTCCATCACAATCAAGTAGGCTTTATCCCTGGGATGCAAGGCTGGTTCTATATACACACGTCTATAAACGTAATTCACCACATAAACAGAACCAAAGACAAAAACCACATGATTATCTCAATTGATGCAGAGAAAGCCTTTGACAAAATTCAAGAGTGCTTTATGCTAAAAACTCTAAATAAACTAGGTATTGGCAGAACGCATCTCAAAATAATAAAAGCTATTTACGACAAACCCATAGCCAATATCAAACTGAATGGGCAAAAACTGGAAGCATTCCTTCTGAAGTCTGCCACTAGACAAAGATGCCCTCGCTCACTACTCCTATTCAATATAGTAATGGAAGTTCTAGCCAGAGCAATCAGGCAAGAAAAAGAAATAAAGGGTAATCAATTAGGAAAGGAGGAAGTCAAATTGTCTGTATTTGCAGACAACATGATTGTATATTTAGAAGACCCTATCATCTCAGTCCAAAATCTCCTTAAACTGATAAGCAAATTGAGCAAAGTCTCAGGATACAAAATCAATGTGCAAAAATCACAGGCATTTCTACACACCAATAACAGACTTCAAGAGAGCCAAATCAAGAATGAACTGCCATTCACAATTGCTACAAAGAGAATAAAATGCCTAGGAAAACAACTAACAAAGGATGTAAAGGACCTCTTCAAGAAGAACTACAAACCACTGCTCAACAAAATTAAGAGAACACAAACAGATGGAGAAACATTTAATGCTCATGGTTAGGAAGAATCAATATCATGAAAATAGCCATATTGCCCAAAGTAATGTATAGATTCAATGCTATCCCCATCAAGCTACCAATGACCTTCTTCACAGAACTGGAAAAAACCACCTTAAACTTCATGTGGAACCAAAAGAGAGCCCACATAGCCAAGTCAATTCTAAGCAAAAAGAACAAAACAGTAGGCGTCACACTACCTGACTTCAAACCATACTACAAGGCTACAGTATTCAAAACAGCTTAGTACTGATACCAAAACAGAGATTATAGACCAGTGGAACAGAATAGAGACCTCGGAGGTAATGCCACACATATACAGCCATCTGATCTTTGACAAACTTGACAAAAACAAGCAATGGGGAAATGATTTCCTGTTTAATAAATGGTGTTGGGAAAACTGGCTAGCCACATGCAGAAAGCTGAAACTAGACCCCTTCCTCACACCTTACACTAAAATTAACTCCAAGTGGATCGAAGACTTAAACATAAGACCTAACCCCATAAAAACCTTAGAAGACAACCTAGGCAAAACCATTCAGAACATAGGCATAGGCATGGACTTCCTGCCTAAAACACCAAAAGCATTGGCAACAAGAGCCAAAATAGACAAATAGGATCTAATTAAACTCGAGAGCTTCTGCACAGCAAAAGAAACAGTCATTAGAGTGAACAAGCAACTAAAAGAATGGGAAAAAAATTTTGCAATCTACCCATCTGACAAAGGACTTATATCCAAAATCTACAAAGAACTAAAACAGATTTACAAGAAAAAAAGAAACAAATCCATTCAAAAGTGGGTAACAGATATGAACAGACACTTTTCAAAAGAAGACATATATGAGGCCAACAGACATATGAAAAAATGCTCAAAATCACTGGTCATTAGAGAAATGCAAATCAAAACTACATTGAGATACCATCTCATGCCAGGTAGAATGACGATCATTTAAAAATCTGGAGAAAATAGATGCTGGAGAGGATGTGAAGAAATAAGAACACTTTTACACTGTTGGTGGGAGTTTAAATTAGTTCAACCATTGTGGAAGACAGTGTGGTGATTCCCCAAGGATCTAGAAATAGAAATTCCATTTGACCCAGCAATCCCATTACTGGGTATATATCCAAAGGATTATAAATTGTTCTATTATAAGGACACATGCACACGAATATTCATTGCAGCACTGTTTACAATGGCAAAGACTTGGAACCAACCCAAATGCCCATTGATGATAGACTGGACATGGTGTATATGTGGCACATACACACCATGGAATACTATGCAGCCATAAAAATCAATGAGTTCATGTCCTTTGTAAGGTCATGAATGAAACTGAAAACCATCATTCTCAGTAAACTGACACAGGAACAGAAAATGAAACACCACATGTTCCCACTCATAGGTGGGTGTTGAATGATGAGAACACATGGACACAGGGAGGGGAGCATCACACACTGGGGTCTGTGTGGGAGGACTAGGGGAGGGAAAATAGGGGGTAGGGAGTTGGGAAGGGATAACATGGGGAGAAATGCCAAATATAGGTGATGGGGATGCAGGCAGCAAACTACATTGCCAAATATATTTGTGTGTGTGTATGTGTGTATATATATGTGTGTGTGTGTGTGTGTATATATATATACACACACACACACACGTATATATGAAAATGCTGAATAAGCACTTAGAAAAAAAAAACCACTCTTCCCTGTCTCCTCTTTTTTCATCTAACAAGCTCTTGCTTGTCATTTTCTGGGTGACCTCAGAAACCAACTCAAAAATCAGGCTTTTGCTTTCCTAGCCCTCCTCCTCACCCTGGCTTAGTGGCTGCTCTCACTTTCTACCCTGCTCCTCACGGAACTTGAAACAAACCTGTCTCCTCCAGACCAGGCTGTCAAGGGCCTAAGGATAATGATGCTCCTGGCATGAAATGGGCTTTCAATAACTGGAGGAAGGAGAGCATAAGACAGAAAGGAAAGAAGGATATAGTTGAAATAAATATGCCCTTGCAGTGCCTTATAGTTCAGCTGGCAGAATACTGACTCCTGGACAATTTGAAAGACAATTCAGATCCCCTCCAGAATCTCTCAGCAAAATTCCTATTCACAATACACAGAAACATCTCACAAGTTTCCTCCTGCACCCCTCCCAATTTCTTCTCTATCCCAACAGCTGCCTGAAAGACTATCTCCAATCTCTAGTAAGAGTTTTTCTCCTTTCTGCCTCTTTGACTACCTTCATGAATCTACATTTTCTCCTGAAACATATAACTTTCCACTTTAAATATACAACCCAGCTAACCTGATGCAGCATTGCAGGTGGTAAGAAATCACCAGAATGAGAGAAAGAAAAAGAGACTTGCCATAAGTTCTCAATGTACTTGGTCAATGGTAGATCACTTAATACAGTTTTTCTTACCCGTGGCTGCATATAAGACTCACCTAGAGAGTTTTCAAAAGTAACCCAGCTCAGGGTCCATGGCAAACCCTTTAGAAAAACAGAGGCAGTGTTCAAGTAACTCTAAATAATATTTCTGTCTTTCACTTTCCAGTGTTTCAGGAAGCCCACCTCTCTCCACCCTATCTGGAAACCTGCATCCCTACAGATCTTTCTCTCCTTTACCCAGGTTAAGGCAAGAATAAAAGCCCCATCAACAGACAAAGCATCATTCCTATAAATGCAGAATCAGGAAGCTGCGCATACTCCTAGTAAATTTTTTCTATGTCAAGGACTCAATTCAGCCTTTTCCCCTATGCTTAAACCTCTTACTTCTAGGGGGTTCTTATGTTCTTCCTCTCAGCAGAAGTCTTTGCCTCAGTTTCCTTACTGCTAGCCTCTGTATTGAATTCGTCTTTTGCCCCACTCACTAACACACCTTTCAGAAGCTGGGTGACACATTTGGGTCCCTGCTTCCTGTGAACAGATCTCTTGCTGTATACCGACTGATCATCCCGGAACTTCTTAATCCCACCAAGGATACTGCTAACACCTTCCCCTAGTGATTAATTCTGGGTCTTTCCCAACCACTTCCCTTGTCCTGTGGGTCTATAAGAACTGTTTCCTGAGTGCTCTGGGTCCTGGAACTCACCGTATTGCATGGATGGCTCTGAACTAATGGAAGGAGAGTGAGAGGAGAGGGAACACAGAAACAACCCCCGTTTAAATGGCCACGGGGCATGGTTAAGAGCTTTTGTAACAAAATAATGATAACAAATTCTGAACAATCATAGGAATAAATTGGTCTTTATGCTTTTCTCAAATCACAGAGAGAACTTCAAAGCCAACGCTAGGTCATCTCAGCCTTTCGAATCTCATTAGCTACCTGAGCAGTTCTATTCCATTGTGAAGTTCTCTTTATTGCAAAGTGCACCCTGAATTTCACTCTGACAAAAGGAGATTTAAACCCCAGTCAGCTTTTTAGTTGATCATCGATCATTCCCCAGACTGACCAGGACCTTCATGGCTTCAAAGACATAAACTCTTTGTGCTCTGTTTCTGGGGCTGGGAATACCAATAGCCAGATGCATATGCACCTAACTGTTGACAAAAGACTAAATGTGTATTATAACTTAGCATACTGAGCTATAATTCAGAACCAGTCAGTAAAACAAAGCCGACAGAACTCCTGAACTCCTCTCAGTGAGCATTCCTCATATGCCTTCTCATTCCAGGGTTGAATGGCGATGACTTCCTCTCTGTGGGCCTGCTCAATGGCAGTGTGGTTTACAGGTATAACCTGGGGTCTGGCATAGCAAGCCTTAAGAGCGAGCCCCTCAATCTGAGCCTTGGAGTCCACACTGTTCATCTGGGGAAGTTCTTCCAAGAGGGCTGGCTGAAGGTAAAGAGTCATTCCTTCATCTATTCCACAAACTGAATACTAGTATATTGTCAGATCCGTGCTAAGGTTCAGTGGTGAACAGCCCATGATGCCTACATTCACAAAGCTCACAAACTATTGTACCAACTAGGAGAATAGAGAGTTGATTACAATTAAGTAGGATAAGAACAAATAAGAGGGATGACTAGTATAGATAAGGGTGAGAGACAGAATTCAGTAAGTGCTTCTCAGAGAAGGTGATGCTTGAGCATAACTTCAAATAGGAGTTAGGAAAGAGAACAGTGGCCAGTATTAGCTTAAGGAATGCAAGTAGTTCAGCATGGTTTTCAGGTGAGGGGGTTGGGGGGGGAAGAGTGGTTAGGCACAGATAAAGTCTATATTATCAAAGGACTTAGATGTGCTAAGGAGTTTATATTTTTATCCAAAGAACTATGAAGAGCTACTTAAAACAGGAAGGTGGGTACCATGTTGATTTCTAATTTTTGATAAATGACTCGTGGTTCTATGGAAAATGGATAAGACAGGGGGAAGGCTAAATGGAGGGGAATCAGCAGGATGCCAGGACCTAATCTTTGAAGAACTTTGATTTTTATTGAAATGCAAAACCATGACTGCTATATTAATATATCCCTAGTAACAGACGCCAGCAGAGAAGCAAAGAATTGAGTGGTATCATATTTTTGATTTCTTCACAATTCAAGTCTTCGTAAATTTTTCATGCCAAGTTAATGGGAAATAACAAAAGAGTATTTTAACAGTTCACCCTGAGGAATTAATTTCTTTTTTAATAGGTTTTGATTTTTTTCTCCTTTTGAAGGTAGATGATCATAAAAATAAATCCATTATCGCCCCAGGAAGATTGGTTGGTCTCAATGTCTTCAGTCAGTTTTATGTAGGTGGCTACAGCGAATACACTCCAGATCTCTTACCAAATGGAGCAGATTTTAAAAATGGTTTTCAAGGTAAGGCATGGACTTTTTTTATGCTATAACTACTTATTTCAAATGTGAGGGATAAAAAGATTTTAAAGAATATACTTCTATTTACCAAATCAGCTATATGGATTGCTTTCAGACTTGAACAAAGTTTAATTTTAATCAGAAACATTTATTTACTTTTTTTTTTTTTTTTTTGAGACGGAGTTTCGCTCTTCTTGCCCAGGCTGGAGTGCAAATGGCGCAATCTCGGCTCACCGCAACCTCCGCCTCCCGGATTCAAGCGATTCTCCTGCCTCAGCCTCCCAAGTAGCTAGGATTACAGGCATGCTCTACCACACCTGGCTAATTTTGTATTTTTAGTAGAGATGGAGTTTCTTCATATTGGTCAGGCTGGTCTCAAACTCCCGACCTCAGGTGATCCAGCCACTTCGGATTCCCAAAATGCTGAAATCACAGGCATGAGCCACCACGTCCAGCCTCATTAACTATTTGTTGACGACTTACTGCATATGTACTGGATGTTTAGAATCCTTTAATGAACAAATCAGATTTCTGCACTCATTCTAGTTGGAGAAAGGAACACTAAATGTAATTAGTTAATTATATAGTCGTATAATGCAATAAGTTCAATGGGAAAAGGGAAATGGAGAGCATGATTTTAGTGAACCAGGAGTATGGTTAATTTTTTATACAGGGTGCTTTTTAATACAGGCTGAGCATGGTAGACCTTAAAGAGTCACAGTAAAATTTAAAACTCCATCTAACTTTGGAATTTAAAAGGCAAGAGACAGATTGCAGTCAACCCATCCTTACCACCAAGGGGTGCCCCACAGAGGCCACAACAAGCCGAGAGGATTAAGGGGAACATTGTGCTTGGGTGAGCAATCTTATTGCCACAGTCTGTCTTCCTGTGTTCAAATAGGAATACAGGCTTGGATCTTCCTTATAAAGCTGATTCATACTGTAATAGAGTTATAAAATAAAGGCATGCTTTGAATTGTTATAATAACTTATTTGGTGAAAATAATCTTTGGTAGATCCAGGTCCCAGGGCATTTGGTCAAAGGTCTGTTCTTACTGTGTGTCCTTAGCCACTCAACCAGGTCCAGGCTACTCTCCGTGAGAAGTAAAGGGCCAGAGACCAGGATCACTGAGAGACAGGGGCTATCATCAAGCACCATCTCAGGCATTGGAGTTATCTGTCTACTTTATTGCATTCTTTTCCCAACCTTGATTGACTTCTGCCTAAACACAAATGCAGGAGGCCATGTACTTGAAACATAAGAAAACAACACAGCTAATCCAGCATAATACAAGGTCAGGTTCAAATAAAATTATTTTGTCAAGGCTCTCAAAGAAACTTTTTCCTTGAATCTGTAATCAGTGCAGATTCTCAAAAGGTGACTTAAAGAATCGTTTACAGCATATTATTGCGCTAACTGTAATAGAGAGTTCAATGATTCTTTCACAGCAGGAGATGGTATGAAAAGGATTGTAAAGGCATAACAAATCAATGAGTTTTTTTAAACATTATATTCAAGTTAATGGAAAGAGAACACAGATTAGTGCCTAGTTAGAGATAGTCCTATGTGTTAGCAGTGCGGATGGTGCTGGATGTGGGAGAGGCACAGCTCCAGTCAGGTGCTTGCTCATCTTTCTCTGCAACACAAACAGGTTAACAGCACTGACTCTGAAATCAGTTTGTCTTCAGATGCAGACACCGTCACCTATCAGCTTCATAACTTCATAAGCCTGTTGTTTAGATTATCTGCACCTCTATTTTCTCCTCTGCAAAATAGAAATGCCTACTCCATAGGGTTTGGTGGATTGATCAAGTAAGTAAAATATTTTTGTTAAGCTCTTAGCCCAAAAACCAGCATTCAATAAGGATCAAATAAATGTTAACTCATTACTCTATCCTGCTATCATAGGTTTCAACATTTGCATATTTGTTGAAGTCCAATGCTTCCTGGTTTCCTTTGGTGGTGTTTACTCCATTCTATTAGGAATTTTTCTTCATACCTTAATGATGAGACCAAAAAGAGGTTTTCATCGAGACCTGTCATTTTCTCCTTAAGTGTGGCAATGAGCCTAAGATCACCACACATATAGCTGGCCCTTTCTCTGACAGAAACACTAAGATTGCACCCTCCTGGAGGTATGTCAACTGCTACAGTCCTAAGTGAAGAAGGGAATCTTGGACAAGCCTTTTTGTGAATTGCCACTTATGCCACAGTCCTATAGAAAATTCAGGACCTTGAGACCCCCTAATTTTATTATTCATCTGTTGGATCCTTTCTTAATGCCTCCCTCCACTCTAAACTAGCATTTACTGTTTATTATAAATTGTGGATTATTGTTACCAACTTACCATGACAACCAAATTGCAACTGTGCCACAAATCCATGGTTCCCAAAGCTGATCTCTACTGGTGCTGAAGAATAATATAGAATCACTTCTTTAAAATACAGATTTCTGAAACCTACCCAAGAACTATTGAATTGAAATCTTTACAGTGGGGCCTAAAAATTTGCATTTTAACAAGTCTCCCAGATTTGGAAAACACAGTATATTTTTTTAATTCTCTCTCTCTCTCTCTCAACTTTAAGTTCTGGGATACAAGTGCAGAACGTGCAGGTTTGTTACATAGGAATACACGTGCCATGGTGGTTTGCTGCACCCATCAACCCAACATCTAGGTTTTAAGCTCTGCATGCATTAGGTATTTCTCCTAATGCTATCTCTCTCTTGCCCCCCAGCTCTTGACAGGCCCCAGTATGTGATGTTCCCCTCCTTGTGTCCATGTGTTCTTATTGTTCAACTTCTACTTATGAGTGAGAACATGAGGTATTTGGTTTTCTGTTCCTGTATTAGTTTGCACAAAAGGATGCGGAAGCCACCATATTCATTAATCATAATGAAGCAAAGCAAATAGAATTTTCTGAAAGAATAATTAGAGTAAGGATATCACATTTGTCTGCAGAATCACAATCAAATCACACAATAAAAGATTATCTGATCGAGGCTTCTACATTTTTATAAACTCTTTATTTCATTTTACTTTATTTTTTTAGACAGGATCTCACTCTGTCACCAAGGCTGGAATACAGTGTTGCCATCTCAGCTCACTGCAACCTCCACCTCCAGGGCTCAATCAATCCTCCTACCTTAGCCTCCCACGTAGCTGAGCCACCAAACCCAGCTAACATATCCTTTCAATGCTGAGTTACGTTGTAGTAGAGTTATAAAATAAAAACAGGCCGGGCGCGGTGGCTCAAGCCTGTAATCCCAGCACTTTGGGAGGCCGAGGCGGATGGATCACGAGGTCAAGAGATCGAGACCATCCTGGTCAACATGGTGAAACCCCGTCTCTACTAAAAATACAAAAAATTAGCTGGGCATGGTGGTGCATGCCTGTAATCCCAGCTACTCAGGAGGCTGAGGCAGGAGAATTGCCTGAACTCAGGAGGCGGAGGTTGCGGTGAGCCGAGATCGCGCCATTGCACTCCAGCCTGGGTAACATGAGTGAAACTCCATCTCAAAAAAAATAAATAAATAAAATAAAATAAAAACATGCTTTAAATTGTTATAACAATTCATTTGGTGAAAACAGCTTTCAGTCGATCCTAGTCCCAGGGTACTTGGTCAAAGGACTGTTCTCATGGTGTCCTCAGCCATTCAACTAGGTCTTGCCTACTCTCCATGAACTTGAGAATTGCATCTTCACACCTGGCTAATTGTTGTATTTTTAGTAAAGACAGTGTTTTTCCAAGTTGCGCAGGATGGTCTCGAAATCCTGGGCTTAAGCCATCCACCGGCCTCAGCCTCCCAAAGTGCTGGGAATGCAGGCATGAGCCACTATGCCCAGCCAATTTCTATAAACTCTTGATAAGTAACTCTAACCCAAAGTTCTCGATCTAAAATACAAATAATTACTGCTACTAAAGCCAATTCGTTTTTGTTCTAAAAAATGGCTTTTAATCAACTATTTTTTCTATGACCTTTAATGCTCATAAAGGTACTGAGATTAATCACATTAAACAGTCTAAATCTACCAAATACTCAGTGCCTTACTGGTTTATCTGCCCTAATAAGAGCAATTCTCCTCTCCTCTGCCTTCCAAAGTTTCATCTGCTACAAAGCTGCAGAGTTCTCAGAGTGAGGCTCATGAATGGTGGTATCAGACTGACTGGGCATAGAATGAAGGAAAGAAGAAAATAAGATAAAGAAGAAGGGAAAGGAGGAATCAGGGGAATTAAAAAGTAAAACTGGTTAGGCCACAAGTGAAAATAAGTGGGTCCTTCACTAGAAGTTCTGTTGCCTGTAGATAATCTTGCTGAGCTGTTAATTGTGCTAAAGGCAGCTATAGAAGCAGAATAACTGAAATCAAACCTCTCATCCTCATTACAAATGCCTTTCCTGAATATACTTCTTTACTTATTTCATTTACTATTTCTACGAGTCTCTCCAATACTTGTTTGAATCCTTTGTACAATCCTGGTTCCCAAAATGTTGTCCCTGGACGAGCAATATCAGCATCACAGGGAAGTTTGCTAGAGATGCAAATTCTAATTGAACCAGAAACTCAGGGAATGGGGCCAGTAATATGTATTTTAATGAGCCCTTCAGGTGATTCTGATGCAGCTGAAGTTAAAACCACAGGCTTACTGTCATCTTTGACAACTCAGCCTTCCCTGATTAACTGACACATCAGAACACTATTGCTATACTAATGTATCATGCCATTTTGCTGCTCTAGAATGCAACAGACACCCAGTCAACTCTAGAATAATAACTGAATTTCTTGCATGCTGATATGGTTTGAATTTGTGTCCCTGCCCAAATGTCATGTCAAATTGTGATTCCTAATGCTGGAGGAAGGGCCGGGTGGGAGGTAACTGGATCATGGAGGCAGATTTCGCCCTTGCTGTTCCTGTGATAGTGAGTCTCATGAGATCTGGTTGTTTAAAAGTGTGTAGCACCTCCTCTTCACTGAATTCCTCCTGCTCCAGCCATGTAAGACATACCTCCTTCCTCTTCACCTTCCATTACGACTGTAAGTTTCCTGAGTCCTCCCCAGCCATGCTCCCTGTACAGCCTGTGGAACCATGAGCCATGAGCCAATTAAATCTCAAAGTGAGAATGGATTCATACACCTGGCATTCCAAAACCCAAATATTTTTTCTATACTTATCTTGCTTTCACTGATTTTTAATTCAGTAAAATATGTCTATATTAGGCATCTCCAGAGAAACAGAAGCAATCATGTATGGAGAGAGAGAGAGAGAGAGAGAGAGAGAGAGAGAGAGAGAGAGAGAGAGATTTTTATAAGGAATTAGCTCATATGATTATGGAGGCTGAGAAGTCCCAAAATCCACAGTCAGCAACCTAGAGACCCAGGAGAATTGATGTGGCTCCAGCCTGAGTCTGAAGCCCTGAGAACCAGGAGAGCCAATGGTGTGAGTTCCAGTCTGAAAGCCATCAGGCTCAAGACCCAAGAAGAGCCAATGTTTCAGTGCAAGTATGAAAGCTGGAAAAGACCAACATAACAGTTAGAGCAACCAAACAGGAAGAACTCCCTCTTTTTTGTTCCACTCAAGTCTTCAGTGACTGAATGAGGCCCACCCACAGTGGGGAGGGCAATCTGCTTTACTCAGTCTATCAATATAAGTGTTAATCTCATCCTAAAACACATACACACACACACACCCTACAATATTTGGCCAAGTATCTGGGCACCCTATGGTCCAGTCAAGTTGGCACATAAAATCAACTATGCCTTATGTCTGTATGTCTTATTTTTGCTGCCTCAGGGCCCATGCTTAAATCAGCATTCTCCACCTCTTCAAATTCCATTTGCCTGGAAAGCCAGCTCATATCACACCTCCTTAATGACAGCCTACTCTCTGAGCTCATTCATTGTGAGTAAACTCTCTGTAGCCTTTGGAGCTCCAAGTCCTTTCCCACTTAGTGTTTCATACCTAGTATAATTATATGCCTAGAGAATGTACGTCTTAATTTAGAATTTAGTAAGCTTATGGAGAACAGAGCTGTAGTTTTGACTGATAACAGAGCTCCATAGCACATGGAATGGTGCTTTCACATAACACATGCTCGTGACATGTTGTTACCACCAGATCTTTCCCAGACTCTCTTACAGCTATGCATGACCATGTGCCTGAGTTCTGGCCAGGGAAATGTCAGCAGGTGTAATAGTTGCTACTTCCAGGCCTTGCCTATTAAAATCTTCTGCACAATCTTGTACTTTGTTTGCCAACACACCTTGATGCCAACCCTACCCACCCTTTGGACTTAACACGAACAGAATATAAGCTTCTAGTGCTACAGCAACTGGTGACCATTGATATGGAGGTTATTAAATATTTACCACTCAACTGAATAGAGTGGACATGAGATAGACTCAGATTCCTTAATAACCCTGTAAAGGAGAGTTATTCTCATCTAAAAATAGCCAACACTGTCAGTGCTTTCAGTTTCTTGTGAGTTCAATTTTTTCTTTCTTCCTTTTTTAATCATATGAGATTCTTCAAACAAGAGCCCATATGGAAAAATGTAATGAGTTTACTGCAATTAATTTAAAAACCTTCTGCTATTTAAAAAAAAGGCTATTACTTATTTGGTACCTAGTCAGTCTAATTTTCAATATACACATGGCTCATGGCTCCATATCACATACAGGATATATGTGTTATGTACTGAATATCTGTTTCATGGAACTACACCAAGCAGATTACGTTTATCTACTATAATAAAAATAAAATGATATATGTTCCACAAATCTCTTCCACTTTAATCACTCCAATTGCTCTAAAAACATGATATGTCGACTGACATTGTGGGGATTCAGGCATTGAGGGGAGCCCTCAGTTCCCCTGAGAGGACGTTTCTTCAGGTTCTTCATCTATCACTACCCAAGAATGGGAGAGGAGACAATGGTGCAGTGCACAGTAAATGCTGGACTAAAAAGTATTTGTAGAAAGTGATTTATTTAAGTAGAAAAAGAGAAACAGGAGAAGGAGAGAGAAAGAAACAGCTAACTCTCACACTAAGTGAGAGAATCCAGACAGATGGAGTCCAGGAGAGGAAAGCAGCTTCCACATGGAGTGGAAGGCAATAGAAGAAGAGATGGAGTTTAGGAGGGGAAGACAGGCTTCCATGAGAGAGTGCGGAAGGGGACTCCAGAGGGAAATTCCAGGAGATAGAAAGACAGCTTCCACGAGGGTGGAAGGGGATCCAAACATGGAGTCTGAGGGGTGTGGAAGGAGACTTTTAACCTGGGAGGAACCCCCTCCTTCTCCAAGACCCTGGGCCAATGAAAGGAGTTCCTTAGAACTTCCACTGGAGTGATTGACTTTTTGATTCTTCTCGCCCCCACAAAAATTAAAACAGAGACCATTAAATCTCCTGGATGGAGAAAGACGGGAGGGGGACATGGCGCTGGGAAGTTCTTCCCCTTAAAACTACATCCCCTTGTGGACCAGGAAAGAGAACACATTCCCTAAACATGAAGCATGTCTCTGTAAAATAAATACATTTAGCTATTTGTATTGGCTAACTCTTTCTCTAAACATAGCATTGCCACATTTTTAGCCAAAAACATATTTCACTAGTTCCTTATAACAAAAGCATTTTATTTATCCATATAAAAAAGAAATGGTTTAAAATGAACACTTTCAGACATTAAGTTGTAGTCATTTAACAAAGTAATCTGGTGTATGATTATAAAAAATTTAAAAATTCAGTATTAGCATCCTATAATTTTTGCTAGAAGAAATCTGCAATTTTATGCAGTAGAAGTAGAAAATATCTGAGATGGTATGATAGAATGTGGAATAGCGGTGTGGAACCCAGGACCTACTAATTTATAGGCATTGCACAGATAGTTTATATATATATTATTTATTCCTCCTAACTCAGGAAATAGCTACTTTGGTCTCCATCTTAAAGCGAAAAATATTAGCTTCAGATAGACTGCATTATCTAGCCATTATGTGGCAGAGATCATATCTGAACTCAGACTCCCCTGACTCCATTACCTACTTATATTTTTGCTCTCTGCAAAGTGTATTTCACTCTGCAAAAGGCATAGGAAACCCTGCTTTGTTGATTGAGCTTGTTGGTTATTCATTTGTAAAGCAGCTAGCATTCATTCATTTCTTTAGTCAGTACAGTATTTTGGTGATGGGGTGTATGTGTGTGCGTGTGCGTGTGTGAGTGTGTGTGTATAATAGTAAATGGCGGTACTTTGAGGAAGAACAAAGATTAACCCTGAGGAAAAATAATCACTGCTCTCTCATAATGAGAAAATATTGATACATGCTGAGAACAGTGCTTGTCAATAGAAGTGTCAGTGAAAACTAAGTTGGAAAGTACGTTCTCTACCTTCCAAAACTGAACCCATTTTGTTCACCATGAGAAATTACTTCATGCTTTTAGTTTTTTTAAATGTTTTGAAAATAAAATTCAATCTTGCCTTTCCTTTATCATTTTAAAGACCTTATTTATGGTTGAAGTTCCTATTTATTTGAAAGAACTTCGCAAATAAATTCTAAGTAACTGCTAAAGGAGAAGAGCAAAATTACAATACATGTCAAGATTCCAAACACTTCCATTTCAAATTCTTCACTGAACTGTCCCTTTTGTTTATATATATTTATCTAATCTTAGGGCACAAAAAGTTCCTTTAAAGATGTGTACAAAGGCAAAATCTCTAAAAGAAAAAAGAGAAAATGTGACAACATGAATAGAAACTTCTTTACCTAAAAAAATAAAAATACTGCCATAAGCAATATTGAGTGCCAAATAGTAAACTGGAGAAAGTTTATTTACAATAGATCACAAATAGCTAATGTGCTATTATATAAAGAGACTCTCTTTACATACTATAAATACAAATTATGATATATATTATGAATTACCAATAGAATTATTAAAAGACTTTTGATACTCAACTAAAGATAGGAAAGTAGTATTTTATCCGCTATCGCATGTAAAAATGAAATGGAATGGTGATCCCATGCATGGTAGTGCCTTTGAAGAAGGGGGTATTCCAGTGTGCTCAGTCCAGTTCTGAAAAATATCTATGGGGGACACCTGGGCATACTTCAAAGCATCTGTATCTTTTACCCTAGTAATTCTACTTCTAGAAATGTGTACTAAGAAAATAATTTTAAAACGCAAAAAGATATACACATAAGATATTCATTACAATTTGATTTCTAATAGCAAAAAGTGTAAATGAGTCAATGGTACAACAATTATAGGCTTATTAAATATATTTTGATATAAAGAAATATTATGCCATAATTTTACAATAGTTACTACTACAAGAGAAAAGTTAATGGTATTTATGATCAACTTTTATGGTATAATATTATATTTTCTACAGCTTAATGCAAATTACACTTTTGTTTAAAAGAAAATATGACTACGCATAGAAAAAATCAAATACTACACACACACACACGCACACATACACGCACACACACCAAAGTGTTAATAGTCTTCTCTGAAGTAATGATATCATGAATGACTTTTTAAAAAAATTTTTCTCTGTACATTTCTGTCTTCTCATATTTCTTTTAAAATTTACATGTATTACTGTATTTTGAAAAACTTTTACTTTAAAAATGAAAAATAATCATCTTCTTGTTTTATCTAATTCTTATGTTTGTTAACATGACGTGTTTTTGCCTTTCTTCAAGGTTGTATTTTCACTCTTCAAGTTCGCACTGAGAAGGATGGCCATTTCAGAGACCTGGGAAATCCTGAGGGCCACCCAAATGCTGGACGCAGTGTTGGCCAGTGTCATACTTCTCCCTGCAGTTTAATGAAATGTGGCAATGGTGGGACATGCATAGAGAGTGGATCTACTGTTTAGTAAGTATGGCATTATTAGGAAAGAAACTAGCAGGTTGTTTGCATTCTAACTGGTATTCTACTTGTACAAACTAGGGACACAAACAGATGCCCATATTTAAAATGTTCTTATGCAGACTTCTTAGATGATGGGAGGACAGGTGAAGGCAACTAGAAATAGGATCAGCACAGTATTTATGCTGTCTTAGTTCTGTTAAACAGCAACGATGAATCACTACATCTCATTCCAGTCACCATGAAAAGTATCACTTAAATCCATAGCACTGAGGCAGTAGACAGAAATGTTAACCACACAAAGGCTTACATATTGAGATTCTTTCGTATGTAGGTTTGAGTCCCTTTAGAAAGGGCAATAGTAAAGCTACACAATTGACTTCTGAACTACTTTAGTATGAAACCAACATGGACAAATTGACAAGGAAAAAAGAAAGGAAATGTTTTTATATTAATAACTCCTTTTGCTGAGCATCTCATCTATGCAAGGGTAGTATATGAGGGGTTCTGGGAATATGCTAAAGAAAGAGGAAGTAAGCACTCTGTCATTCAATGTCTTACACTCTAGCTACTCACAAATTTCTTATGTCTCATACATGTATAACACAGCTAATGAGAGATTTGTCAAAACGCTTCCCACAGGACACATCAGAAAGCATAATATGCTTCACCAGGAACGCTGGCTCCCTGCAAAGCAGCTGGTAAAGTGGAGTGTCAGAGTTTCCCCTGGAGCACAGAGTCTACCCTGAAGAAGGTGTAGTTTTTTTTTTTTTTTGGTTTTTTTTTGGGGGGGGACGGAGTTTCGCTCTTGTTACCCAGGCTGGAGTGCAATGGCGCGATCTCGGCTCACCGCAACCTCCGCCTCCTGGGTTCAGGCAATTCTCCTGCCTCAGCCTCCTGAGTAGCTGGGATTACAGGCACGCGCCACCATGCCCAGCTAATTTTTTGTATTTTTAGTAGAGACGGGGTTTCACCGTGTTGACCAGGATGGTCTCAATCTCTTGACCTCGTGATCCACCCGCCTCAGCCTCCCAAAGTGCTGGGATTACAGGCTTGAGCCACCGCGCCCGGCCCAGAAGGTGTAGTTTTAAAAGACATGAGTGAAACTCTTACCCTCCCTGAACAATTTCCCTCCACCTCCTCACTAGAAAATGTTCAAAAGCAAAGCTCAAACAACTGCTAGTCACAGTAAAATGTTTGGAGAAAAAGAAATGTATAGTTTGACTCAGCCAAGGAATTATTGAGGACAAAATCTAAGGCTTGGGATGCCACCATCACAGAGCAATATTTTTTGGCATTAGCTTTACCGCTATAATTGTATCATTACTGCTCTATAATTTTTAATGAAACCTTTAACTTGCTTTACAAAATATGCATTCTAATTTGCTCTACAACTAACCTTAATTAGAAGCACAAGTTTACTTCACTTTTTCTAAAGAGTTGCAGTCATTCTTCAGGTGGTACTACTACACATTTTTATTATTATTATTATTGAGATGGAGTCTTGCTCTGTCACCAGGCTAGAGTGCAGCAGAGCAATCTCGGTTCACTGCAACCGCCACCTCCCAGGTTCAAGTAATTCCCTGCCTCAGCTTTTTGAGTAGCTGGAACTACAGGCACATGCCACCATGCCCGGCTAGTTTTTTGAGGTTTTTTGTTGTTGTTGTTTTCATTTTTGTCTTTTAGTAGAGACTGGGTTTCACCATATTGGCAAGGATGATCTCAATCTCCTGACCTAGTGATCCACCTGCCTCGGCCTCCCAAACTGCTGGGATTACAGGTGTGAGTCACTGTGCCCAGCCTATTTTTGTTATTTTTTGATATGATAATAAACAGGGATCTAGAAAGTGGCAATAGGGAAAGCATATGAAGCTGAAAGTGAAGGTGAGGAATCCATCCCCACCCTACAGTATTCCATGTGGACCAAACAGTCTAACCGTTTAAACCTAAGAGCCATATATATGTATCTTGGACACATAGTGCCAAGTATAGATAGCTACTTAGAACCATTTGCAGATTATTTCAATTAATATAGAAATTTTCTTGAGTTCTGATATTAAACATAATACCTTACAATTGCACAGGACTTTGTGAGTAACAAAGCACTTTTCATATATTATTTCTATTGCTCCTCACTAAAACTGTCTAAATTACTCAAGGCCAGTATCCTAATTTCAATTTCATAGAAGAAAAATGAGCCCCAGAAACTAGTAATTCAAGAGGATGTATGAGCACCCTGTGAGTAGTACAGCAGGACCCAAAACTGAATCTTCCATTTCCTGGGTCAAGATTCTCTCCAGAATCTAAATAGTGAGAAATGAACTGAAAAACAGTGAAGGGAGATCCAAGATGGCCAAATAGGAACAGCTCTGGAGTGCAGTTCCCAGCAAGAAGAACACAGAGGGTGAGTGATCACCGCATTTCCAAATGAGTTTTTACTGTCCACAGACCAGGAGATTCCCGAACTGAAAAGTGCCATTAGTTTCCAGCATGGCTATTTCAGCTGGCACTGCGGATCTCCACACAAAAAATCACGCAAATCCAGGCAGCCATTTCAACAGGCACCTGGAACACCTGGGATACAGAGCCACCCATTCAACTGAAAAAAAAAAAAAAAAAAACAGGGCTGAAACAGGGAGCCAGGTGATATGGCTTAGTGGGTCCCACCCCCAGCAAAGACCAGCAATCTGAAACGCTATGGATTGAGAGTTTCGCAGCAAGCTCATATGGACCCAGGACAGCCCAGCTCAGTGGGGGGAAGGTCATCAGCCATTACCAAGGCAGTCCACCATTACTGTGGCAGTCTGCCTTTACCGAGGCAGTCCACCATTAGTGAGGCAACCCACCATTACCAAGGCAGTTCTAACAGGAAGTTCACAGAGCAGCTGGGCAGAGCCCACAGCAGCTCAGTAATGCCTCTGCTGACAGGCTGTGGCTAGACTACCACCTTACTGGGCAGGGCATCTATGAAAAAAGGCAGGAGCATGTCAGGAACTTATCAATAAAGCCCAACCTTCCCAGGACAAAGCACCTAAGGGAAAAGGCATTTATGAATTCCGCTGCAGCAGACTTAAATATACCTGCCTAGATGCTCTGAATGGAACAATGGACCTCCCAGCTCAGCACTTGAGCTCCTATAAGTAACAGACTGTCTCCTCAAGCAGCCCCCTGATCCCTGTATATCCAAAGAGACACCTCATAAAGGAGAGCTCAGGCTAACATCTGGCAGATACCCTTCTGGGATGAAGATAACAGAAGAAGAAACTGGCAGCAACCCTTACTGTTCTTCAGCCCCTGTGGGTGATCCCCAGGCAAGCAGGGTCTGGAGTGGACCTCCAGCAGGCCTACAGAAGAGGGACCTGACAGAAGGAAAACACAAAAACAGAAAGAAATACCTTCAACATCAACAAAAAGGACATCCACTCAGAGACCCCATCAGAATGTCACCAACTACAAAGACCACAGGTAGATAAATCCACAAAGATGGGAAGAAATGAGTGTAAAAAGGATGAAAACACCAAAAACCAGAATGCCTCTCCTCCTCCAGGGGATCACAACTCCACACCAGGAAAGGAACAAAGCTGGATGGAGAATGAGTCTGATGAATTGACAGAAACAGGCTTCAGAAGGTGGGTAATAACAAACTTCACTGACCTAAAAGAACATGTTCTAACCCAATGCAAAGAAACTCAGAACCTTGAATAAAGGTTAGATGAAATGCTAAAAAGAATAAACAGCTTAGAGAAGATATAAATGACCTGATGGAGCTGAAAAATACAACATGAGAACTTTGCAAAGTATACACAAGTTTCAATAACTGAATTGACCAAGCAGAAGAAAGAATATCAGAGACTGAAGATCACCTCAACGAAATAAAACAAGAAGGCAAGATTAGAGAAAAAAGAGTGCAAAGAAATGAATAAAACCACCAAAAAATATGGGATTATGTGAAAAGAGCTAATCTACGTTGATAGATATGCCTAAATGTGAGAGAGAATAAATCCAAGTGGGAAAACACTCTTCAGGATATTATCCAGGAGAACTTCATCAACCTAGCAAGGTAGGCCACCATTCAAGTCCAAGAAATACAGAGAACACCACAAAGATATTCCTCAAGAAGAGCAACCTGAAGGCACATAATCATCAGATTCACCAGGATTGAAATGAAGGGAAAAATGCTAAGGGCAGCCAGAGAGAAAGGTCGGGTTACCCACAAAGGGAAGCCATCAGACTCACAGTGGATCTTTCCCCAGAAACCATACAAGCCAGAAGAGAGTGGGGGCTAATATTCAACATCCTTAAAGAATAGAACTTTCAACCTAGAATTTCATATCCAGCCAAACTAAGCTACATAAGTGAAGGAGAAATAAAATCCTTTAAGAACAATCCTTTAAGCAATTACTGAGAGATTTTGTCACCACAGGCCTGCCTTATAAGAGCTCCTGAAAGAAGCACTAAATATAGAAAGGAACAGATAGTACCAGTCACTCCAAAAACGTACCAAATGATAAAGAGTATCAACACAATGAAGAAACTGTGTCAACTAATAGCCAAAACAACCAGCTAGCATCAAAATGGCAGGATCAAATTCACACATAACAAGACTAACCTTAAATGTAAATGGGCTAAAGGCCCTAATCAAAAGACACAGACTGGAAAATTGGATAAAAAGTCACAACTCATTGGTGTGCAGTATCCAGGAAACCCATATCACTTGCAAGGACACACATAGGCTCAAAATAAAGGGATGAAGAAAGATTTACCAAGCAAATGGAGAGCAAAAAAAAAAAAAAAGCAGGAGTTGCAATCCTAGTCTCTGATAAAATAGACTTTAAACCAACAAAGATCAAAAGAGACAAAGAAGGGCATTACATAATGGTGAAAGGATCAGTGCAACAAGAAGAGCTAACTATCCTAAATATATACACACCCAACACAGGAGCACCCAGATACTTAAAGCAAGTTCCTAATGATGTACAAATAGACTTAGATTCCCACACAATAAA